AGATTAATGCTTTACAAAGCTAATGCCTTAAACACCTGCTGGTTTGTTGCTTCAGATTCAAACTAATGATTATATCTGGACTGAAATGGTGCTGATCATATGTTTTTATTTTTTCTGACACTGTTTTTATGCTTTTGTACGGTGACCATGAGTGTCCAGAAAGGCGCCTTTTTAAATAAAATGTATTATTATTATTATTATTATCATGCAGTTAAAAAAGGAGGAGTTAACGGAGGTTAGAAGTAAAAGGAAGAAGCTTCTAAGCATTTATTTACTATATTAACAAACACTTTTAATGGCTTGTATAACATTATTGTTTATATTTGTGGCTGATAAATGTGCAGAGTGTTTATTTGATGGTGGGGGACCCTGAGAAGATAATCAGCTCAGAACAAAACCCTCCCAAAGCCCTGCGAGGGAAATCCGGCTCTTTGGGTCAAAAGGTCAGAGGTCAGGTTTGCAGCACCCCCCCGCTTCCTCTCTACTGCTGAAAAATCTAAAAAATAGAAATGAGACCAGCATGGCTGACAGTTAAACTGGGGCTCTGACAGTATCCCTGCAGGCCTGGTGGGACGCCCAGGAGGAGAGAGGACCCTTGAGAGAGGTGAGAAGAGGCTGATGATGTCTTCACATATTGGGATGGGGGCTGGGAGACCTTCGGCATCAAGGTCACAGTTTATTGCAACATGATCTGTGTTCTTCATAACATGCTGTGAGAAGCAGAGGAACACATTTCACTTTCCAGCTTTCCCTGCTGACTTCTATTTCCATCAAAGACATCATGTTCTAGGTGGTTTCAGCAACGTCATATTCAGCTTTGTTACAAACCTTTTGTCATGTAGAACATTTGGAACCGTTCATATGGGAAAAAAAGGAAACAATCCACAACTAGATCAGCCAGTAAGTTCCTGACCCCCTGCGGCTTAGATGCCACAGAAAGCTCCCATGGTTGTTCTCCTAAAGCAGCGACTGTAAGGTTTTATCATTTAGCCGCATATGTGAGCGTTTCACACACAGTCGCTGCCGAGGGTCATGGCGCTGGACAAACCCATGTAGAGTTTATAGGATCCCACTGGTTCCTCTGAGGACCAGTAAAGGGGCCTTTAACAGACCCCCCCCCTCTCTGGACTGGATGTTTTCCTGGATTAAAAGCAGGTGGTGCCAAACTCAACCAAAGACAAAACAACACAGAACATTCCCATTTGTTCCCAAAGAGATCATGAACTAACATCCACACATTAAACACACGCACCGATGATTCTTCAAGTTAATTCCAACATCTTTAGAATTTAGGGGCTAATTTTTAGGTAATTACCAACATTTTGTTCATATGAGTCGGTCTCTGGCTTGCTGCAATTATAACAAACAACTTTATGCTAATAGTCATTCAATGAGTCTGTAATTATGGAGAGACTCTGCCAATGATGGCACAATGCCTGGAAACACTGGTGTTTGCACGGTTGCCATAGTAACACCTTAACTTACTGTAACATCCCAACATGGAAGTAAGTGCAGCTCTGAATGATCATCATTTAAAATAAAAGCTAAGAACTCGTATTTAAAGGAAATTAATTTTAGGAAAAACAAGAAATACATTCAATAGTTATCTGAAAAACAGGTGATTAAAAAAGGGTTTGGCTTCTTCCTGATTCACACTTTAGTGCTTTAGAACATCAAACTATATCAATAGTCAAAGACAAAACAAGTAAACAAAGAATAATTCTATTAATTTGTCTCTATAGTTCAAATTCACATCATGTCATCTCAGGTCACTTTATAGATCCAGATCAACCAGATCATCCAGTCAGATTGATTCAAAGTTTTCTATCTAAGGAAAACCAGCTGATTGCATCGACTCATTGACTCTTCAGCAATCC